ATTTGTGTGCAGACACAGAGAGAGGTGCTGAAATTCCTTGCTTAATCATGTGCAGCCAAGATTTAACTCACCTGCCACTTCTGGAGCACTGTCTTTTCCCCTCCTGAGTGTTTCCTGTATGGAACAAACATTTGACTGAAACAGCCTACTTTAGAACAGTAAGAGAAAGTCAACACATTAACATCTGTGCTCCCTGTGTCCCCTGCTCTCATTCTACAAAACTGGGAGAACACCAACACTAGAAGAAAGTTGAGGCTTCATCATTGACCAAATTATTCCAAAATCAGAGTGTCATTGATTAGATTAGCACAATACAAATTTCATTATTACTTTCATATGGAAGGAAGGCTCTGCCTTATTAGCAGGGCTGGCCTAGCTTTAGGTGGCTGATGAACTTATCACTCTCAGTCACTCTACCTTTGACACGCTGACTGTATCTAAACTACTTGCCAGTTGGCTTCTGAATGAAGTCCCACTTACAGCATGATAATTTTTAAAAAAAGAAAAAAAAGAAAAAAAAAAGAAGAAATTAAGGTTGTAGGACTAAGGATGGATTCTGTTTGCCTTATGGTATCACTGCAAGGCGCAGCAGTGATGCTGCAAGAATTCAGTAAGCTGCAAGAATTCAGATGCTGAGTCAAGGCAGAGAAGATGCTCCTGCAGCAGAGGTAGATGGACAGCTGGGAACAGCAACCTCCTCAGCTGTTCTGAGATAAGCCACAGGGCTAATCAGTCTGTCCCCCCAGTTTCATGCCATTGTAGAGCTAAAGTGCTAATGACAGGTCCCATTAAGGCTGTCTGTTTCTATTCTGAAGCGTTAGTTTCAGAAGTTCATGCTTTTCTGAAGTGTTCAGAAAATACATTCTTGAAAACGCAAGTCCCTCAGTATCCCTATCAAAGATATTCTTGTTTCCCAAAGCACTTTGAAACTAATGTAGTCCTTAGAAGCAGATTGTCATTTTAATATTTTTTACAATAATGGACTAAATATGTATTTTCCATTTTTTTGTTCTCAAAATGCAACTTTTAATGAAAACTTTAAATAAAAACCCCCAGATCAACTGAAGGCAGATTCTAAACAGGGAATTCACTTGGAAATAAGAAAGGGTCAAAGGTTCTGAGGAAACAAAAGTCACATTCCAACTGCTCTGAACCAGAAGGTGTATCAGTATCTGAAGGCCATGGATTTGCTCTCGTCAGTTCCTAGAGACCAAACTGAGACAAGTGACAGCTTCTTGATTATCATGGTTTAACCCCAGCTGGTAAGTACGTCCCACATAGCCACTAACTCACTCTCCCCCCATAGGAACGGGGGAAATCATAAAAGTGAGAAAACTTATGGGTTAAGATAGTTTAAGAGATAAAGCAAAACCTGTGCATGCAAGCAAAGCAAAAGAAGGAATTCATTCAGTACTTGCTGTCAGCAGGTAGGGGTTCACCATCCCCAGGGAAAGCAGGGCTCCATCACATATAACAATGACTTACAAATGCCATCACTCCAAATCACTTGCAATGTCTCTGCCTCTGCTACTTCCCTCAGCTCTATGTGCCAAGTATGACATAGCATGGTATGGAACATCCCTTTGGCCATTTGGGATCAGCTGTCTTGGCTGTGTTCCCTACCAGCGTCTTGTGCGTCCGAAACCTCCTCACTGGTGGGACAGTACAAGGAATAGAACGGGCTTTGACTTTGTGTAAGTGCTGCTCATAAGTAACTAAGACATTCCTGAATTATCAGCACTGTTTCCAGCACAAATTCAAATTCTACTATGAAGAAAATCACCTCCACCCCAGCCAAAACCAATACATGGATTAAAGACACTTTTGATCTTCCAAAATAAACAGGATTACTGACATGATATGATACTGGTGGCAAGAGAGGCTTTTTCCTTTGAGTGTAACACTTTAAACAAATCCTAAGGTGCCAGCTCAGAGTCAGGAGTATTAACTTCATGAATTGTAAGGAAATAAGTTCAGTTATAGATTCAAAAACTGCCACAGGAATAACTAGCTGCTATTTCACACTCTTCTGCTCTGTATTGGACACACTAGAAATTCACAAAGGAAGGCTTAAAGTAGCTTCAAAGATCTAAATGAAACACTGGAAAGGTCCACGATCATTACAGTTTTATTGAATTTGCAGTAGTAAATTCTTGTAAACCACCCCTCATGCTTATGAATCACTATTTTACTGCCTGTTCAATCCTGGATCAGTTAATAGTGTACATAAAGAAAAAACACTACAATTTTCTCAAAATATTATTTTATTCCTTGCTTAGGAGCTCTCTTCAGAGAAAAGTGTGTATCTGAGAGAAGGATTTTGAATGAATAAACATGAAATACAGGACAAATTCTAGCACATGATTTACAATTCCCAAGATATGCTTAGTTCTCCTAAGCATATGAAACTAACAATGACAGGCTATAGTTTTATGGAAAACAGGCAACACAAAAAGGTGTAGAGTTCATGTCCAATACAGAAAAATAAGATCTTCACTCTTTGTCCAAAAAAAAAAAAAAAAAAGAAAAAAAATTATATAATGGTCTAATTTACACAACATAAATCAGAAACAATTTAATTGACTAAGGTAGAGTTATGGTGGTTTTGCACCTCTAGTTTGAGCAACACATGGCTCAAGAATGGAGAAATTCCAAAGTACAAAAGAGTTAATAAACATTTATCCTTTAAAATTCAGTCCTCTCACACTGTATGTAGATTTCACAGAGCTTTGCCCCAGTGACCTTTGTAAGACCTCCAAGAGACATTTGGAACTCAGAGAGAGTATCTCAAAGGGATGGAACAGGATCAGGATTCCTGGGATTATTTGGAATGTGGTTGGATTAGGGTGTTCATCGCAGATGGATCAAGTTAGGTTCTTCCCTTTCCACAGGGGTAGATTCACTCACTAAAACTGCCCAGGTTTATTTTGGATTTTTGGCTGAGTTCAAAAGCAGGGGAGAACATTACGAAACGCTATACACAGGACTAAACTGGGCCAGTCTGTGTGTATGTTATGCAAAATACACATGCTGACTTATGGGTGCCATGACCCTTTAGTGAAACACTTGCTCTGCTTGTCACAAGCCCTAAAGAGCTAATAAGGACTCCACAAGGGTCAAAATAATCCTCTACAATGACTTTGGAAGCCACTACATAACTCAAAGAGGTTGACAAGTTCATCACATCATGAAAATAAGCAAGGCTAAATGTAGTCACTCCCCTGTAAAAGCCATCCTTCTGAGTCTCAGAGGACGTGGCAGGATGATTCCTCCAAATCCCTGGAGACATGGAATTCTGCATTCTCCTTTGTTGACTTAGGAGCTCAGAACATGAACTGCATTACAAGCAGCTCAAGCCTATTTCCGCCTTCTCCTTGATAATCAAATAGCATTTCTCCAGCCAACACCTCTCTAGACAGCACAGCAACAGCTCAGTGTAGATCAACATCAGCTATCCAGCCTCATTAAGTGCATTTAAAAGTAAATAAATAAACAAATATTCAAAGGTTGTTTTTTTAAAAAAAACAAGAGAAGTACTTTATAAGTACTTTATAAGTTTAAATAACTAAACTTCCAGAGGGAATGAAATTATCTGAAGTCAAGAGAAGTACCTAGATATTTATCTATATCTTAATTTATAAGGCATTTGTAGGGCACCAGACATGGCAGAATCTAAGTATGATGTGTACTAATGATGATCCACCTTTGGCTACACTATACATGAGTGATTTATTAATCCCTCTTCCATTAACATCAGACTATGATCTCACTCTTGTGATAGCCAGTGCTCTCCATTTGCTAGAGACAGGTGGACCTCAACCCATTTGGAGATTCATTGCAGATGAGATAATCTCAAAGGATAAGATTTTGCCCCACTGAAATTAGTACTAAAATTCCAATAAACTTAATAGGTTCTTAGACTTCAGAAAGCTGCTTCCACTTTCTTTTTGTCTTCCATTCCCCAGACTTCTTAAAGTCTTGAAAACAGTGCCAAGGCTCTCCTAAAACCACTTTTCTTAAGGAACCTTTGCAATTACCAAAAACATTGTAAGGAAAATTCCCTCCTGTTAAGCCACTTAGGTCCAAGTCCTACTATTAAAAAAAGAAAAGACTTCAAAAGGAATATAAGTCTTCCCTGTGAAAAAATCAAGTCTCTCTCAAACTCAGAAAAGTGTTAGGTTAGATTACTTTAGAATAAAGGTACAGTGTCCTCCTTCTTTGACTGTAGCAGTCCACCGTCTGGGTATTCTTAACCTGTGCTCAAAGAACTGAGATATAATACAACATTTATAAATAAGTGTCATTTTCAAGCAGAGCTGCTTGAAGGGGCTAGGGAGGGAGAAAGGAATCTCTCTCATTTACAGAACTCTGCACCACTGTGCATTCACAGTGCCTAAACCAAAGGGATAACGTTTCCACTGTGGAAATGCTGTGCTCAGGCACACTTCGGGTTGGGAAGAAACACATCCAGTAAATTCTGGTTATTTTTTGAGGTAAGCAGAATGCAATCTCCAAGCCTGGAATCAGACAAGCACATCAACATTATCAGCTTCTTTATACCAATAATATCCCGGACTCAAGGCAGAGGCCTCAGTGTTGCATGTTCTACGAATAATACGTAAATAAACCAATCAGCTACTTCTTTTTTCCCCAGATATTATTTTGAAATTACTGCAATTAGTTGATAAAAACTTCATCTTGGTAATCTCAATTTCAGTAAATTCACATGCTTCAGAGGGAAATTGTACCAACTGCACCTTTTAAGGGTCACAGATAGATGAATATAAATTGCAGCTCACATCCTTCCTGCTGTACCACTGAATGAGCATTCCCTCCTGTGCCCATATCTATGTAATTTAGCATGTGCTAAGGATGGTATCACAACTGTTGTGAGTTTTAACACACACATACAAGCATCTATCACCGTGTTACAGCCAAGTAAAATGGAACAGCCAAAAGACTAAAACTGACAGTTAAGTAACGTTGGAAGCTGACTAACAGCTTCTAACGAGCTCCAGATGCTTTTTCTTTCTGCATAATTTGAAATCTAACATTTCCAGGCACTGCATGCCATTCAGTTCTTCCCCCTCCAGCTCGAACTTCCATTCTGGAATCAACCATTATGCTGATGATCTCCAAGGGCGTAACACTCTTGTTGCTTAGTAACAAAAGTTTCACGGGCTGCGGAAGGAGCACTGAATAGCAAGACCCTGCAGCGAGGGAAGCCCTTTTGCTACTCCTCCTCCCTCCACACACACAAGTTTCTTGAAGGGCTGCCATTTTCCGTCAAGAAAGTGCAATTCAGAATTTGCAGGACTGTGGAAAGGAAACTGTCCTGTGTTTCCTGCTCACAGTTTTATTTACAGACTGAAAGACTAATTCATAACTCAAAGAAGAGAAGACAGAGGACAACTGCACAGTAACGGACTATGAAGGCTCAGCCCACACTACTGAGAAAAACCAAGCAGCTTGTGTCATCCGTACCTCGCCTTCTAGGCCTTTCTAGCTACTAGCTGGTAAGACCTTATGTAGGGGGGCATTCTGGAAGAATTGTTAAGATGAAACAATGTTTTTGTTTGTTCCTGGTGGGCTTTGGTTTTGCAAGTGAGCTTGCAGTGTGATAGTATGGTGGCTCTGAAGTGATCCAGAAAAGTAGGAAAACTAAGGACGAAAACCTCTCTTGAACTATTTGCTCATGGCAGGATTTAGTCTAAACCTGCCTGTTAGCAAAAGACTGCATTTAAGATAGTCAGTGAATTAATCTCTCTTCCACAATGGATCGTATCCAACAACAAGAAATGATAACAGGTTTCTAAGTGGTGAAATGATAACAGGTTTCTAAGTGGTGAAATAACAACCCACCCAAAATGTAACTGCTTGGCTTCATGCAAAATCATTTGCTGTACAAATGCTGGGTTTAAGCTTTATATAAAAGTATTTCAATAGAGGTATTCCATGGGTGAATCAAAAAGTTCCCACGTTGCCAGAGAGGTGCAGGGCATGTCTAGTTTTGCTGGGCTTGGCAGGCCTGCTCTGCTCTGTGCAGACTTTCGAGAGGAAAGTCAGGGGAAATATGCATTCTTCTAGGATCAGACCTCCTTCTTAGGGCAGACTTAAGATACTGTGGGTCATGACTGACTCTTGTGCAAGTGCTTAATTGCAGATAAGGAGTAATCCTCAATCCTTCCTTGCCTCAGGGAGACACTGACAGTCTTGGTTCTGATGCTCAAGGTCTATTCCATCCCTGCAGCTCCCAGTGACACTGAGTACCATAGACAGCATGCTGCCCTTGATATACATTTTCTACTAATTTCTGTATTAGGTCAGCCTCATAGCTCTGGGCCTATGCAACACTTAAAACTCTGGGGTTAGCTCTCAGATTTCAAAACCCCAATCCAGAACAAGGATTTTGCCAAGTGTGGATAGAAGGGGAAAGGTTTTCTTGTCAAGGTCCTCTTTAGTGAGACAGTTCCTAAGGACTTACGTCTTCCTGATCAGTGCATCTTAGAGGTTCACAGTAGGATTTTAAAAAATCCGACTAAAGGAGGCAGGGTGAAGAAAAACTTCCTTAAAATCTGAAAGGTCCAGGTTCAAACTTTGCAACATCAAACTTTTTAACAGGTTGGAAGGGGTTATTGACAGAGAAATACCCAAACCCAACAGGTTAAACTGCAGGGTTACTGCTGCCAAGCTTCCAGCACTCAACCTTGTACGCCAGGCTCCCTCTAGTGCTGCCAGGCACGCACAGCGCAGAGGGACACCAGCACTGGGAACCAGCATTACCAGAGCAGCGGCAGAACTGGCTGATTTTTTTTTTTCCTCGCTGGTATTTTTTAAAATAAGAAAGGAAACTGGCTTGGCTCAATGTTCCCCTCTTGGATTTTAAATGAAAAATAACAGAAAAAAATTACTAGGAACTAAAGGAAATGTTTTATTTCCAAGAGTTTTAAAGGTGTTTTTAAAAGCATTTTAAAAGAAATTTTGAAATTAGAAAAAAATACGTATCTTTCCTTGAAACTTCCATTCATTTTCTTAAAGGCATACAAATGCACTGAATGTTCTGATCAACTCATCCAACACAAAATTCTAAAAAAGAAAAAGTTGGACCTAAAAGTCACCTGGTTCACATCAATTACAGGAAGCAGAAAGTCTCCTTCCACTGAGCCAACACATAAGGAAGCTGCCCTACAGATCTTTCTCTGAAGCATTGTAGTCACCCTCTGTGCACCAGAAAGGACCCAAGGTGTCCTGTACCAGCACCAGGGCCCTGGCATTTCCTACACAGCTGAATTTTATCTTCATAGAATTGAAAAAACAATATTGCATAAAATCCTTAAAATGAGTGACCTGTGATTAGAAAACCCTGCTATTTTGACCTCCAGAACTTCCTACGCACTCCTGGGCAAATTATTTACACTAACATCAACAAAAGTGAGAAGAGTACTTTACTTATACTGTAGAGTACTTTGCTTCAGTTACCAATCTACACTGCAAAAAGAATAGCATTGATATTGCCCTTTGGGCACTGCAAGGTTAAGTGCAGCAAAGAGTAAGAGGCCTTCAGATATCATGGTAATATAGCCCTGTAAGTACTGGTGAGAGACAGAAACACAGGAGTGACACACAGAAAGATTTAACCATGTTTAAATGTTTTTATGTAAAATAACAAAGATTCTATTTTGGAGCATACCCTCAGGCCAAGACTGAAACCACTGTGCTGCTTCCAGTATTTTCTGAAGCATCTGCCTCATAACCAAGCTCTTTGGAGGAAGGGGGAGTAGCTGGGAGAGATTCCCCCTGCTTTTGCATTATTTTGGGCTGTGGCATGTAATTGAAAAGGAGCTGAAATGCCTTAGTTGTAGCCTGAGCTTTCCCTTCATGTATTCGCACATGATTAATGAGTAGCCAAAAAGCCTGAAGGGTTTGTAATGAAGCCTTTCTAATAGGGAAATGTATTGTAGACAAATCCATATTTTGTCCCAAACAATCATTCATCAAAGCTTCAATTTGACTCTCCACAATTAAATGCCAGAGCACCCAGACCATCCTGAGGTTAGCCAGCTGTAACTCATCCTGCTGTAACTCATGCTCCTCTCTGAACTCTGGCTGAGAGGGACATTGTCATCCATTTCCAGGGAATCAGCCTATTTCCTATGTCACTAACCATAATTAGTAGCTGTATTTGATGATCTTCAATTAGAGAGAGTTCACCAAACCTGAGACTAAGTGGACTGTTCTTACAGGCCTCAATTCAATAAAGCACGTAACACATGCTGAGCATCAGTATGAGTCAAAAGTCTGAGCAGAACACCTACATGCATTTTTCTGAGGGCAGGGCACCTTTGCAGTGGGTGACCATCTATCCCACAACATGGATGAAGAGACAAGGTTACCCACAGGAGACACTTAGTGAGGCCTGGTTAAGATGTCATTAAGCAGCCCTGACACCAATCCCTGTTGCAGTCTGCCCTGCAGGTGATGTATCAATTGCCAACAATGCTGGCAAGTCTGGGAGCACACTAGGTTAAAATAAGACTCGTAATAATTTCCTTTAAATTCTTAATCCAGAGCCCAAATCTTAGGTCCATTAAACACGACATTTAACCAACCTGTTAGCAGATGCCAGGCCTGTAAAGAAGGCAACTGTTGATCTGGTAGAATGAGAAAATTTTGGATAGCCTCTTTTAATGCAGTCCCTAAGGACTGGATTGAGACCCAGGTTACATTTGCTTCAGTCCTCAAACGGCTGATGGATAATAACACATTTCATTTTGTTTCACAACATCCTGGGCTTAAATTAGTATTTAGGGATGAAAGACAGCAAATGTCTCCCACTTGTAATTTTACCCTGTAATGCAATATAGGTGTTTCATTGCAATAAAATCATATTGTAAATTATCAGAATTTCACCAGCTCAAAATACTTTCAGGAAGAACTCTCAGAGTTGCAGTTTTGCAGCTTTGGGGTTGAAAAGTCCTGATTTAAAAAACAACCAACCAAACAAAAAAAACAACCAAACAAAAAACCCCCACCAAAACACAAAAAACCCCAAAACAAAAACAAAAAAAACCCTGGACTTCTGAAGAGTTTAATGGTAACATTAATTTATAACTGTGTGATTAACAGCCATGGCTTTCAAAGGCTTTATTGGAGTTCCCACATTTTATCCACAGAGTCTGGTGTGTGTGTCTATCTCTCAGCGGAGACATGGCCAAGGGGAAAGGAAAAGGTCCACAAGGGAAAAGGATCACTTTGAAAATGGCCAAAAATTCAATCCGGGTAAGTTTTAGTGGAAGGCGCCGTCTTGACTTGAGCAAAATGGGCATCACCACCTTCCCCAAATGCATTCTGGAACTGGCTGATGTGGAGGAACTTGATTTGAGCAGAAACATGTTGAGAAAGATTCCAAACACCATTGAGAAGTTCCAGAATCTGCTCTGGTTGGACCTGCATAGTAATCAGCTTGATGAGCTGCCCAAGGAAATAGGCACACTTCAGAACCTTACTTTCCTGAATGTATGCAACAACAAGTTGACCACCGAAAGTCTTCCAGAAGAGTTGAACCTTCTCAAGAACCTCAAGACCCTTAACCTTGGCTTGAACTGTCTTGAGACTGTTCCCACCACTCTTGGGGCTCTGAGGGAACTCATTGATCTAGGTCTCTTTGACAATGCCTTGACCACCATACCAAAAAGTGTGAAAAATCTCCCCAAGATTGAGAGAATGAATGTAAAAAGAAACCCTTTACGAGAGTTAGAAAAGCCAAAGGAGGAGGTTGACACCATTAAACGCATAGAAACGCTTTACTTAGTAGAAGAGAAAGACCTGTGCTCTTCCTGCCTGAAGATGTGTAAGGGTGAGAGGGATGAGCTGCACAAGTTGGAGGACATGACACCTAGCTCCTCCAAGGAGCTCAGTTTCTCTTCACTCCTTACACCCAATTCCTCTGCAAAGGAGAATCAAGAAGAATGGAGAGTAAGAGGCCCAGATTCTTGAAATATATCAAGGCACTCCACACATCATGTTCTTTGAAGTTTAGTCCAAAAAAAAAAAAAAAAATACAGCTGACCTCCCTCTTCCTCTGTTTTCCTGATCTTCTTCTTTAAAGTTCTGCTCTGTTTTAGAAGCTGATCTCTGTGGTCTCCAAAACAGATGTATATTTGGGAAGGGCTATTTCAATCTGGGCCTGTTCCTACAACATGTTCTCCATGTGTGGGTTTTTTGGGGGTCTTTTGTGTGTGAACGTGTCCAGTGAAGACAGGTTTTTCTAGTAAATCTGTTCCCACCACTAAGCGTCATACATTAGCTGTGTTCATTTTCATTGGGTGAGAAACAGTTAAACAAGTCTTAGTAAATACACTTTGGAGGAAAAGGCACAGACCTGGGAACCTTCTGCTGCTGGTGGCTGCCACCAAGCTCTCAGAGTCCCACATAGGCACTGTCAGTGTAGGAACTGTGAGCCTTTCCAATTCAGAGGCAGCAGCTACAAATGTTATGCTCAGCAATAACTAAGCAGTGGAAACACAATGCTTAGAGATAGACAACCCATGATCCTGTTTTGCCATCAAGGGGCCAGACTCTGCACAAGCAAGTTCTTTGGGATTTTGGGTGCTATATCTAGGTGCAGCAATCTCCAAGTTGCATAGTACAATCAGCAGTACTGCCCATACTCGTGTTTTCTCTGCCTCTGAGTAACCCTCCAAGGAAGCTGCAGAAGGGAGAAGGGGTGGGGAAAAGGTTTTTTCTAAGGGTCCCAGGCTTATCACTTAAGCAGTGACTAAAGGTAATAAGAAGAGTCATTGTCTTCCATGATCCATGAGTCAGGTCTAGTGTCCCCACAGTACTTTAAGCTTTCTGTTCACATGTTCATATGCTTGTGTGCACCTGAGCACACACATTCACTTGCTCACATCACATCCCTAGGGCAAGGAGTGCTGAGAGCCTGCAAACAGCAATATACAGGTACAAGCAATGAGCAGATTATAAAAGCAGTCAAGCATGACATGAGAAGAAGTGCTGGCAGTGACCATAATAACCTGTGGTGACGGCAAACATTTAAGTATATTGAAATGAACAATAAAGTGCCAGGAGCACTTTATTTTTTAAATTACTACAGTAGAGCATGGGAGTTGGAACTCTTGTGTATTTCCTGTGGACTAGGTGGAAAAAACTACATGGGGTTTCCCAGAAATGCTATTACCTCAATGTCATGTGATTCATCAAACTAGTGATTTCTTCTTTCCATGCTTCAACTTTCATGTGCAATTATTAATAGTGTGTCTGGACAAAGGGCTTAATCTGGCCTGCCTCCCTGTCTCAGGTAGGGCAGGAAAAGCTGGGATGCTGTGGAAGATGGCCATTGCACTACTAGATGGGGAAGAAGCCCCATATGTTGCTTTTAAATTGTCTAACTCAGAAGCAGCTCCAAAATTCAAACAAGGGAAAAGTAAACTCATCAAGTCCTCAGTCCTTGAGTTCTGACTGGAGCTTGGTAAAGGGAAGCACATCTACTAAGGTAATTTTCACTAACTTTCCACTTACAACTTCTGCGATAGTTACTTAGGCAGTGGTACTATCTTATGTGTATTTTATTTCAGTTCTTTCTCTAACATGGTCCAGCCAAAGCTGTGCCAAAGGCCCCTCACATTCTCAGAGTGAGTAAGATGCACAGGTTCTTCTCTCAGCTAATGGAGTAAAACTGAAGACAGAGCCTTATGAGATTCAGGATATGTTATTTTAGACCTAGACATGCAGCCTGCCTCAGTCTCTGAGATTAAACATGAATCAAGTGTTTCTCACAACAACCACAAGCCCAGTTAATGCCCAAAGCTCCTAATGCTGTAGTGCATCTTATCTCATGACATTCACACCTGTTGAGCACCCAGGAACCACAGGGTTCCTCACAGAACAGACATCATGCTCCACAGAGTCAGCCATCCCCTCTGGCACAGGTTAGGCTCTGGCCAGAGCTGGCTGCAGACTCCACTCATACTTTTTGTCAGTTGATGACTGGATAAAAATGCTCACTTATAAGATAGGTAATGATCTACAACAGGTAGACAGAAAATTAAAGAATACAGCTGACACAGGCCACAACAACTCACAGGTGCAATCTGCAGAGTATTTCAGCCTCAGGTGATCATTTCAGAGGACACCAATTAGCGCTTAGGGTTGTGTTCCTCAGAAACCCAAACTGAGAAAAATTATAGGTATGCAAGTAACTCATGGTCAGCATGAAACATGCTCTCAGTCACCTGCCACTAGGAGAAAACTTTTTTTTCCTGCAGTGTTAAATCTGAGGGACAAGTCTGAATCCCCACTACACAGCTAATATAACATGCCAAAAGATCCATGTGTACATCTATCACTGTCTGCCCTAACCACGCAATGAAGAGGTCATTATGCAGAAGCATTATGGATTAGCTCTAACCTCATCTCACTGACTGTCTCTTCCCACAGTAACCATCTGTGTAGAGTTTACCAATAAAGTAATATTAAGGAGATAATAATTATTAATCAACTCTGCATGATCACCTGCTCAACGCTATCTTCATGTCTTCATAGTGTGGATGATATATGCTAGAATGCTTTTTGGAGCTCTACCAACATCTTTGGATCTTTAAAACAGGGGACACAAATAGGTAGGTTTCTGTATGTTTTGCTTTAAGGTGCAACTTATTCACACAATTGCACTTATCTACAGTTACCCAGTGTTTCCTATGGTTTACCTTATATTCAGGGACTCTTCTGTTATCCCCTTCGACTTCAAAGCAGGCTGGAAAGAGCAAAATCTACAGGAGATACATGAAAGGTGACATTGTATTTATGTAAATGGTTATTAGGATACATTACATATATATATAACTAATACCATGTCCTCAGCAACCTAGAATAAAGCTGCAAGACAACACAGCAAAAGCATACATCTAGTGTTAAGGAATTGCCTGTGGGCTGGATAAAAGCAGTTTCTTTCTCAGACAGGACAGTGAATTGATATATGGGGCTATGGACTTATGATCAGGTGCTTTAAGGGACTATTAAAGCCAGAGAATAAGAACCCATTCAGACATTTCCTTGGAATACATAGGTTTGGTGACCTTCAGTTGATGATCAGAGCTCAAAGACAGCAAAGATAAGGACTAAACAAAGCACCTGGCCCTGTGATTCTAAGTAGTCACACTATGCAGCCAATTTGGAAAGGAAGATTAAATAAATTTGCACTGACTTTTGTATGCACAACTCCTATAGGAACTGTTCAGAGATTTCAGGAGCAAAAGGAATTGCTGTGATTGTTTAGAAATTAACAGTACCAATCCTCAGTTCAGGCTGCAGCATTTACCACAGGAGAAATACTGGTATTGAAGTGTTTCTCCTGTGTAAAGTCCAGTGAATGTAATCGTGATATAATGGTTAGAACTACAGTAAAAAAAAAAAAAAAAAAAAAAAAAAAAAAAAAAAAAAAAAAAAAAAAAAAGAAAAAAGAAAAAAGGCAAGAAAATAAAGTGCAAATTAAGCACTTCATAGTCTTACATTCAAGTTCCATTAAATAAGACAAGCATGTAGGGAGAAATCTTTTTTAAATAAAAATGCCATTGCTAAAAGTTAACTCCACACCAAAGATAAAGTCAGTGTCAGAAAGGCAAAAATATTTTATTCATGAAGAATCTACTGACACTTTGTGTATTGGAAAAAGCAGGAAGAAATCTTCTTTCACTCAGTACTGTGAGGTGAGGTGGCGGTTGCTCTCATCTCAGAGCAGGGAAGGAGCACAGCTACAATTGCCATTTCCTGGGATGCAGGGACACACATCACACCACTGGGTGCTAGAAAAGTCCTACACATGCATTAGATCCCTCGATAAATAAATGGCTATTTAATGCTCCAAAGAATTCACAGGTCAGCAAAAGGAAAATTTTCATTAAAGCTCAAGGAGATGCAATTGAAAATAAAGCTGCTGCAGCAACAGAACACAGACACCTTAGGCCAGGATAAATAGGGGTGGTAGACCAGGAGCATCACTTGGGTATTCCCATGTTATTATGAGATAGTCATTACCTTTTAAATATCTTATTTCGGTTGCTGTCGTGGAAGACAAGAAATCTGGAGTAACCATTTTTGAAGAATATTTCCAAGGCAATTTCCTGGAAAGGAGATTAACAGTGTGAAGAGCTGCAGAGCAAAGCCTAGTGCTGCAAAAGGTCCATTATGGCCTGTCTGATTCTTCAGGGCTTTTTAAAAAAGGGACCTTGACTTTGTACCAAGTGTGAAGAAATAAAGCAAAATATGTCTAATATTCTAAATTTCCATAACTATAGCAATGGTCCTACTGGGTGACTAGGAGTTCAAATGTTCCTCTGAAACAAAACCAAACTCCAGATATTGGTGCCATCACTCACCTTTTCCTGCTGCTTCTGGAGTATTTTTATATTGAAATCTCAATGTGATTAAGACAACAGTAGCATTAACTTCCAATTAGGTGATAAAGATATCACAAAGAGGGGATTCTAAGTAAGAGTTTCTTACAGAAAGCAACCATACTGCTTTCTAAATTAATAGAGAGCTCAGGAGAATTGCCCAAATTTCTCCTGACTAGAAGCAGCAAAGAAGGAAGGGGAGTTTATGGCATTTCTCACTGAAGCTTTGAAGAATTAAAGTTGAAAGAAAACTTCACTCTCTTTTTCCCCTGCACTTTCTCCACACATTGCTATGTTGGACATTTGAATATAATCCTATTATTTACTCAGTGAGTGGTCCTTTCCCCCCGCTAAATCATTCAAGTAAAACTATAAATAACATGTAGTGTCTGCGAACCCAGGCATGAGTTTCAATCCAAATGTGGCAGGTGCAATACAAACCTGGAGAAACACCACAATGGCAACTGCCCCATACATGATTCACAAATAAAGTATGAAGTAGAAAGGTAATATGAGAGCAGCTATGACAATAAACAGCTTGCAGCATTTGCTCTGAAGCTCAGCTTTCCAAACCAAGCCTGCTCAAGTGTTGCCATTACAGAATTAGGCCGTGTGGATTTGCAGTGCTTTGCTCTGGGCTGGGCTATGTGTATGAA